CTCCAGGTGGGGTCCTAATTTAGCTGGCCGACGACTGCCTGAGGTGCCGCGCGTGTCGGGATCTTCTGGCAGTCGCCGGCCAGCTAAATTAGGACCCCGCCTGAGCTCCTCCCACCGGACCAGCGCTGACTCGCCGCTGCTCTCCCGCACCGAAGGTAAGTGAAAAAAAAAACATAGAGCAAGCATCGGGGCATTTTGACAAGTACTTCTCACAATGCCCTGTTTTTTCCGCCCTCACCCTGCAGCGCCCTCAGGCGGTCGCCTGACTTGCCTTGCGGTAGCGCCGGGACTGACTACTCTGGGTACAAAAGCCTCTGTGTAGATGCACTATGCCAGCGGTCGCCAACCTTTCCGACCTCATGGTCCGACCACTAAATTCATCATTTTAAATCCTGCGGACCACTAATATGAATTTTTTTAAAATATAGATATATTCTTTGTTTCCTTATACAGGTGAAACTCGAATAATTAGAATATCGTGCAAAAGTAATTGCAGTAAGTGCAGCAAAAGGGGCCCAAACCAAGTACTGAGTACATATGCATGCTTGTACTTCTCAGAGGTCCGATATTGTTCTATGTACAATCCGTGTTTTATTGATTGCATGTAATAATCTACTTTTTTGAGGTTGTGGATTTGGGGTTCTTGGGGTTTCCATGAGCTGTAAGCCATAATCATCACAATGATGACAAATCACGGCTTGAGTTATCTCGCTTTGCATGTAATGAGTCTCTCTCATATATTAGTTTCACCGCATAAGTTGCATTAGTGAAATAAATGAACTTTGCACCATATTCTAATTATTCCATTTTCACTTGTATATAAATATATTCTCTTATGTGTGCGTGTGTGTGTGTGTGTGTGTGTGTGTGTGTGTGTGTGTGTGTATCTATATATATAAACATACACACACACACGAGAATATATTTGTATATGAGGAAACAAAGAATATGAGTATATATCTATATACAGTATACATACATACATAGGCGCGGGTGTGCCTGCAGGAGTGGCAGTGCTGGTGGAGGGCCTGGGGACCACCAACATTTTCTCCGGGACCACCAGTTGGTGACCGCTGCACTCTGCCACCACTAACAGGCCACCAATTGTGCCGGATGGTGGAGCTGTGTACGTATAACATCCAATCACACTTCCCTGGTGGAGCTTATGGCATGAAATAAAAGATCTGATTGGTAGTTATGAGCTGCTCCTGGAATTCTCCCATCCTCCTTTGTACAGATATTTTCCTTGACGGTCTTCTCACCTCATTTTGCCAGGGGATGGACACTGAGCCCGTAGAGAACTTGCCGTAGAAGTCATCATCTGTTTGGTCCAAGTTCACCCCCTTCACAGTGGAAAACTGTTCGATGTCCAGGACATCTTTGCAGTAGACGGCGCGAGGCTGGAGCAGAGAATAAGTCACATGTCAGTTTACGGGGGAACTATAATATAATGGGTTTGTATCCGTCTTATTTATAGCTTTTGCTTCAATACTCACCTCCATTCCGGAGCCGC